ACAAAAAGGGCCGGAAATGTAGGTCAGTGGTAGGCTCCCACTCCACCCCCATTCAATCCTCAGTACCACAGAGGGAAAATTTTCAAAAAGATTTCCTATATAGAAAACTACATGGGGGGCTGGGGACGTGGCTCAAGCGGTAGCACGCTCGCCTGGCATGCGTGTGGCCAGAGTTCAATCCTCAGCACCACATACAAAGATGCTGTGTCCGCCGAAAACTAAAAAATAAATATTAAAAAAGTTCTCTCTCTCTCTCTTAAAAAAAAAAAAAAAAAGAAAAGAAAACTACATGGTGAGCACACACTTTTAATCCCAGGGGCTCAGGAGGCTAGGAGAGGAGAATCAGGAGTTCAAGACCAGCCTCAGCAATGGCGAGGTGCTCTAGGGCCAGAGATGTGGCTCAGTGGTCAAGTACCCCCCCCACCCCAGTTTACTCCCTAGCACCATTAAAAAAAAAAAAAAAAAACCCACAGGAGCATTCTTGCCCCTCTCCCAGTGCCAGGAGCCAGGAATCCAAGTCCTTTTCTTTCCCTTTTAATAAAATTCCTGCTCTCTTCCTTTAAATTAAAAAATAACAACAAAAACTTCATGGACAAATGCAGTGGGATACACCGTAAATCGTACCTTCTTCAGATGCTCACAGGGGGATTGCCTGACTAAAGGAGGATGGGGCCAGCCTGAGTAACAACACAGCAGGACCCAATTCCTCAACCTTGAAAAATAAAGAGCTGAGGCTCATGCCCTGCAAGCACGTGGCCCTGGTTTGATTCCCAACACCAAAAAAAATGAGAAGACTATCGACCAAAAACTTCGATATGCATGGCTTTTGATCCAGCGACTGAACTTGTAAGGACAAATACTAAAATTCCATAATATTATTAACTATTTTGTTGGTACTGAAATAAAAAAATAGTAGTTCCAGTGTCTAACTGTCTAATTTTTTCACAACTGAAAAAATTATACACTCTGCACATGCAAAGGAAAAACTGAGAATGCAATAAAAGCTAAAAAATGAGATTTAAACTCAGGTGACAAGCACACCTACACAAATTGGATAGATTCAATTTCTGCTTTATATAATTGTCATTTCATGTTTTATATATTAAACTTTACTACTCTGAATTTAAAGGGAGGGGTAGTAAGTTTTCAAAAAGCTACCTTGTTCAAAAAAGAAAGCACTAACAACCAGAATTTCTAAATGGCCCAGGACATTAAATAGATTCCTAACAAATGGTGGAAAAAAAACAAGCAAACATGGATGATAACTAACATGTGGCTTAAATTTTGTTTTCCTTATATTTTCCTAAGTGAAGAAAAAAATCTTAAATTTTTGGTCATGATTCACAAAAGTAGCAAATTTTACCAGAGCCAAATTATTTTTTAAATTTTAAAAAATAAAAAACCAAAGTAAAAAGAAAGAATCTAGGATCCTTCATTTCTAAATCATTCAGTCTCCAATACCTCTGTTTTTTGCTCACAGTTTGGGGAGGAAGGTCACATAAGATAATAGGAACAAGAACAGGCTTCCATGGATTTGAACTAGGGAGAGGTACTGATATCCTCAGTACCTCATTAAGACTGACTTTATTATTTAAGACCTTCCCTACTAATAAGTGTCTGGACAACAACCAAAAAGTATAAAAAACACTATCTCAAAACTTACCTCCACACATTTCTAATTCTAGAAACTTCCAAAATAACTAAGACATTCCTCACTTGATCTCTCATTTATTATTCTGTAATTCCAGGAAAAAAATTTCATAAAAATGTTTGAAGAATAAAGAATTCAAGGCTCTTCCATGCTCACAGAAAGATACAATAGAGAAAATTTTTTCATTACAGTCAAACTCCAAATGAACAGGGTATAATAATCTGCTACACCACTGCCATAATCCTTAGTGCCCATCAAGTACCTACCTCAGGTTCCTTCATTTGCAGCAGTTACTTCACCACTATTTCCTTGTGTCTCTCCACAGCACGGTGACATTTCCCTCAAGAACACTAATACATCCAGACTACATTTACAGGTCTACTTACAAAACAAAGTTCTTAGTACCCTGACACAATTAAAACATAAATACTTTTGAATTAGCAAAAGCTAAAAAAACACACATTGAACTTAGAATAATTAAAATCAAGGCTGAATTTTAAAATGGCCAGGAATTTAGGTTTTAGGTTGTCAGGGGTTTAATCACTATAATTTTGGTTTCCTGGTATAATAACTAGATTTATGAGAGGCTCAAAGGAAATTTATCACTAAAAAAAAAAAAAAAAGAAGAAGAATGATAATGGCAGATAAAAGTACTTAGAGCCAGGCTCACTGGCATACCCTGAAATAAAAACCAGGGAGGGACTCCAGAGGATCACAAACTGGAGGCCAGCCTCAGCAACTTAGCAAGAGTTGGGCTGGGGATATAGCTCAGCTGGTAGAATGCTTGCCTAGCATGCACTAGGCCCTTGGTTCAATCCCTAGTACTACCACCTCCAAAAAAAAAAAAAAAAAACACCTTAGCAAGACTCTCTCAAAATTTGAAAAATGGCTAGGGATATAACTTAGTGGTAAAGTATCCCTGGGTTCAATCCCCAATATCTGGGTTAAAAAAAAAAAACAATGCTTAGAATTATGCAGCTGAGAAAGTATTGTGTTTATAGAGCCACTGAGACAGGCCAAGCATGGCGGCACACACTACAATCCTAGCAAGTGGGTGATATAGGAGGATGGAAGTTCAAAGCCAGCCTCTACAACTTAGCAAAACCCTGTCTCAAAAAATACAAAGGGCTTTGGGATGTAGCTCAGTGTTTAAGCACCCCTTAGTTCAATCCCTAGTATACCCCCACACACACACACACACACACACACACACACACACAAATTGAGATAGGGCGGGGAATGCAGCTCACTAGTAGAGTGCTTGCCTACTAGCATGCACAAAGGCCCTGGGTTTAGCTCTCATTACCAGAAACATTTAATTAGTTAAAAGAATTCTTACCCTACCAGCTCACCTAACAAACATTTCATAAGTTAAAAGAATTCTTTCCCTACCAGTTCACCTTCTCAATTCTACATCAACTAAGCACAGAGGAAACTTCAGAATGACTTCAATACTATCAAGCTAACTTCTTGGGGAAAAAACCTAGCAAATTTAAGTATCTATGAGGAATATCACAAATTAAACCAAAAAACTGAATCTTCAATATCCATTACACTCATCATTGCACTTTTTTGTCCCTTGGGGGACAAGAGAGCGAAGGGTAGTACTGAGGATTATAAACAAAGCATTATACCACAGAGCTATATTCCCAGCCTTTTTTATTTTGAGACAGGGTCTCCCTAAGTTGCCCAGTCTGGCCTCAAATTTGTGATCCTTCTGCCTCAGGCTTCCTAGTAACTGAGATTACAGGCATGGGACACCATGTCCAGAGTTTGCACTTATTTGATAGTTGTTTTCAACTTTCTTTATTAGGTTACAGCAGATATGGCATACTTATTAAGATCACTGAACACTGAGCCAGGTGCCAAAGTACATGCATATAACCAATAAAGCTGGAAGCTGAGGAGGGAGGATCACAAGTTCAAGGCCAAGACCCCCATTTTCAAAAACTTTAAAAGGAATGAAATGTTGCTCAATGGTTAAGTACTGCTGGGATCAATCGCCAGCACCCAAAAAACAAACAAACAAACAAACAAACCCAACGAGTGAGCATCAGAGAGAAAGCTATTCAAAATCTATTAAGTGCTGTGAGATATAGCAGGTCTGGTGGGCCATTTTCAAAATATAGTATTCAGCCTTAACTGGATCCAAATGTAGCCATTTTAATTACAGCCCTTCCCTTTGACTGCCTCAATTTTAAAATTAGCCAACCGCATAGACTATATCTGAGTCCTCCAATCAAGGCGAAAGGCATCACTATGTTAGGTATATTAACCAGGGAACATCCCACCAGGTAAGCTTGCTAGCCAGGTTCTGTAGTAAGCCTTTCTGTTAAGAAGTAAAAGTTTGCCTTGCTCACCCACTTTCAAGCATGTGACTGATTTCTTACAGTACCTCATTATTTCTAACAATGTTAAAAAAAAAAAAAAAAGGAAGAAAGGAGCAAAGGGGACAATATAAGCCCACACCTGTAATCATAAATTCAAGGTCTGCCTCAGCAACTTAACAAAACCCTGTCTCAAAATAAAAATGGCTAAGGATGTGGCTCAATAGTTAAGTGTACCTGTGTTCAATTCCTAATACAAAAAAAAAAAATGTACAAAAGAAACCTATTTGGGAGGGGAAGAAAATGTAAAACATGGACAGTATTTTTTCTATTAGATGTGATTTTCTTTTTCTGAACTTTCAAAATTTTTTCCAGACATTGAAAATACTCCACAAGGCAGTTCAAATAATTACATTTCAGATTACATACAAACTATATTAACAATCATAATTAATAAAGGATAACTATGAAAATTTTAAGATACTGAAGCAACAATCAAAAGAAGCAAAACAGCCAGGCATGGTGGTGCATGCCTATAATACCAACAAGTCAGGAGTCTGGAGCAAGAGCCCCATTAACGTAGCAAGGTTCCAAGTAATTTAGTAAGAATCTGTCCCCAAAAAAATAAAATAAAATGGGTTGTGGATGTGGCTCAGAGGTTAAGCACCCCTGGGTTCAATCCCTGGTACCAAAAAAAGAAAAAAGGCAGAAAAACAAAAACTATAATAACACCATATAGTTCTATGCCAGACTGTATTAAAATCAATTCAAATGCACTATAATCCTTAATGTTCAAATTATTTTCATTTTAGTGATAAAAGAAACCTGATCAAGCTCACACAGCTAAAAACACCAGAGCCAAGATACGAATCCAATTCTAACTCCAAGTCTCAAGTATCACTACATTTCCAAGAGAAAGGAATTAGATTTGTTCTCTATCAGCTAAAAACATTTTCCTAAGAAAATATTTTTTAAAAAACAAAAAGTTGGCACCACAAGAAAAGAAATTTAAATACACATACCTCTACTTCATCTCCTTCACTAATTTCTTTTTTTATATCAGGTGGTGGTGGTAATCTAACTTCATTAAATGGAACCTGGCGTTCTGGTTGCCAACTGAAGGATGAGAAAAGGAATGAATTTTAAAATACATATTCTAACAGCATCTAATATGGAAGCTATACAGTCTATGTTTAACGCCATATATTTTCAGGTTAGCTTTTCATTTAATTTTCCCTAAAGAGGAAAAAAACATATTAATACTATTAATTTCCTAAATAATTTCATTGAAGTAGAACAGATTTTACATGACTTGATGAAATTTATAAATAATCAACATTGATAATAGTGTATGACTTTCCAAATTACTCATTGTTAAGAATGGTTTACGGCTTTATTCTGCAAATAAGAGACTAAGTTTAGAGTAACCACTAAGGTTTGAAATAATACCAAAAAATGGTGGGATTAATTTATTTCAAACACAACTATGTGACTTGTCAAAAATTATAAAGTTTCACAGTAGATTTACAAAATAAAAACTACATGCACATGCTCACAAGTACAAAAAAAAAAAAACAGCAATTTAGGTGGGACATATAGCTCAGGAATAAAGTGTGTGCCTATCATGCACACAACCCTGGGCTTGATCCACAGCATTCAAAAAAACAAACTTTTTTAAAGGCAATTTTTTGAATAGTTGAATTACAAAACATTTCATATTGTCCTTTTCAATTTATCTTTTCTGGGCTGGGGATGTGGCTCAAGCGGTAGCGCGCTCGCCTGGCATGCGTGCAGCCTGGGTTCGATCCTCGGCACCACATACAAATAAAGATGTTGTGTCCGCCGAAAACTAAAAAATTATTAAAAAAAAAAAATTTATCTTTTCTACAATGGATATGTACATTATAATTAGGACCTAGGAAAAACTTGGTCTTTCTTTATAATAAATACGAATAGCTATTGCCTACTTGATAGGTTCTGTTGTATTTTAAGATGAACTGATAAAGCTATAAACATTTTTCCCTACTCTTAAATTCTCACAGGTTATATGCCTGGAACGTATACCAGCATATAAAAATGTTCTAAGGCCTTTATCTGCCAAAGCTGGGTAAAGCAACAGTTGCCAAATACAAAACTGGAGTGTACTTCCTTTCCACCATTATTGTCAAAATGGTAGATGCTCAGAGAGAGACATCATCTCAATACTGCTTTCTATATGAAGCAGTTGGCAGACAAACATCTTTTATTATTATTATATTGTGTGCATAGTGCTGGGGAATTGAACCCAGGACCTCCTGTAACAAGCACTCTACCACTGTGCAAAATCCCCCAGCTCCAAGCAAAGACCTTTTCAGGAAATAACAGAAGCAGCTTAAAAGTGGAATTTGAACAGTTCTTTCACTGTCAATTAAATTGTGCTCTTTTATAAGCCTTCTCAACCAAGCCTAGCTTACTGTCTTGCTCACTTTAGACTGCCTAGCCCTTATAATATTTGTAGAATTAGTTCATATTGATTAAAACCAAGCAGTTAAAGTGATCTGATATTTTATTTTCTCTAATATTAGTCATTTGGAAAGCCTTTTACAGTATCATTTCAAAATTCTGGGATTACAATTTAAGCATATTACAATATCACTTTATTTTCTACAAAAACAACTTACTGAATCAAATCAAATCATGTTTTGCAAAGACAAAGGACTTGGGGGGAAAAAAAGAAAAAAAAAAAAACTAGGAGCAGAAAAAGGAGTGAAAGGTTACCAAAATTGGGCTTATTTGAACTCATAAGGTGATCAAGCACCGAATGCACTTCCACTTAAAAACAAAATCATTTGGCTTACTGGCAGTAGGAACATGCAAACACAGATTAGTACTTCCACTCTATAAAATTAATCTTTGTTGAAAAAATAACTTACTTATTTTCAAAAACAACTGTTAGGGAATCTTCATGAACATCTTTGATAAATCCCTGCAGAGAAACAAAACATTAAAATCTCATCATTATTGTTAAACATTACATAATCCTATAAAGCTACAATTAGATATGAAGACAATGTGAAATACTTAAAAAGAACATAGGGTTTTGAATTTAGGCAGGTATGGGTTTCAGTTTCATCTCCTTTTGTGAAATGTATGATGTTTAAGTACTTAAATTCTCTGAACCACACTTTTAATATAGTACCACCTATCTTGAATTCAGCAAAAAATAAATGTTCATCCTTGGATTATATGTTCCGGCTCAGTAAGTCAGAATTTTAGTGCTGCGACTAGAGTACAGTGTTTTGAACTGTGTCTAAGCGTCAAGGTCTGTAATCTGGTGCCAGAATTTACCTCAGTTCTAACACTTGCATATTCTTGAGCACAGTTTAATAGTTAATTAGGTATCTTACCTCATAAAACTATAAATTAAATAAATATCCAGCACAAGTGACAGAGTAAGAACTCAATTAAATTATGTCACAAATATTAAATTGTAGCCATCTAAAGTATAAAGGCATTCTGAATAGTAGCTTTAACAGTATCTTTCTATCTACTTCTCTTTTCCCTTTCCTTTTTTTTATTTTTTTTTAATTTTTATTGTTGGTTGTTCAAAACATTACATAGTTCTTGATATATCATATTTCACACTTTGATTCAAGTGGGTTATGAACTCCCATTTTTACTCTTTTCCCTTTCCTTTAAAAAAAAAAAAAAAAAAAAAAAAACTGTTAAAGCCCAGCATGATAGCTTACACCTGTAATCACAGCGACTAGGGAAGCTACAGCAAGGACTTCAAGTTCAAGGCCAGCCAGCAACTTAGTGAGACCCTGTCTCAAAAGGACTGGGGACACAGCTCAATGGTCAAGAGTCCCTGGATTTAATCTCCAGAACCAAAAGAAAAAAATAATGAAAAACAATTTAAATATTTAACTAATATTTAAATATCTATTATATTTCAGACACTATTCTGAGCAAATTAAATTACAAAACAATGCCAGGCATGATGACACGTCTGTAATCCTAGAATTTCTGGAGGCTGAGGCATGAGGACCCCAAGTACAAATACAGCCTCAGCAATTCAGTGAGGCCTTAAGCAACTTACCAAGATCAGATTTAAAAAAAAAAAAAAAAAAAAAGAAGAAGAAGAAGAAAGAAAGAAAGAAAAGAAAAGAAACTGGGAATTTGGCTCAGTGGTAAAGTGCCCCTGGGTTCAAAAAGCACAAAAAGATTAGTCTGGGGCTGGGGATATGGCTCAAGTGGTAATGTGCTCGCCTGGCATGCGCGGGGCAGGGCGGTGGGTTCGATCCTCAGCACCACATAAGATAAAATAAAAAGATGTTGTGTCTGCCAAAAACTGAAAAATAAATATTGAAAAATTCTCTCTCTTCTCTCTCTAAAAAAAAAAAAAAAAAAAAGTCTTTTCTAGTACAAAAAGAAAAAAATATACAAATATATTTACACACACAAATATGTATATATGTATATATGTACATGAAACAATCTGTCAATGATTAAAAACCCAAAAGCAGATCAATCCCAGAAAATCTTTGAAACTGAAGGAAGTCTAAGAGAACATAAGTAACAGCTGCGATTATCACTATTTTAATAACTTAATATGACCAAGGGCAGAAATGTAGGTAATCCTCTAGTTCTGTCCTGTCATATTTGCTACTCAACTGAATTATCTTTGTAATTTGTCACTTTTCTCCTCTACAGTCCCAAATTCCTTTTATCTCATCTGCTTTGTGCTACAGCATATTTCCATGCAAATAGCTTCAGGAGTCCTAAAACTCAGAGGATTACCTCCTGTTTCAAGAGTGCTAATAACCACCAGGTGGTGGCACAGGCCTGGAATCCCAGCTACATGGGAGGCTGAGACAGGATGGCCATGAGTTCAAAGCCAGCCTCAGCAATTCAGCAAGGCCCTTAAGCAACTCAGTGAGATCATGGCTCCAGTTCTGATTTTCAGACAGTTTTTTTGCTAAATTGCTCAGGCTAGCCTCAATTGTACACTTCTCCTGCCTCATCCTCCCATGTAACCGGGATTCTCAATTTTTAAGAAATATTTTAGGAACTGAAATTTTCCAAGTTCATAAATATTAATTAGTAAATCATCTCTTACCATCAGATTCTAGTCATATTTTCAACTCTCACTAACACTTCCAATCCTTCAAAAAGAAACTTGAGTTTGGACAGTGAAACTTTCTAGTTTCTGTATAATAGAATACAAATCAGAATTCCATCCAAACCAACAGAAAATTCTGCTAATCATAATAAAAATTTTTTTTATCAATCTAAAAATCCATGCTTAGCCCATCGTGGTGGGGCAGGCCTACAATCTCTAAGGATGAGGTAGGAAGATTTCAAGTTCAAAGTCAGCCTCAGCAAGTTAGGGAGACCCCTTTCTCAAAAAAAAAATGAAAAAGGCTAAGGACTTGGCTCAGTGGTTAAGCACCTCTGGGTTCAAACCCTGGTGTGTGTGTGTAGGTGTATAGGTGTGTAGGTGTGTTTGTGTATGGGGACACGGGGGGGGGGGGGGGGGGGGGAGAGGGGGAGGGGGGGAGGGGGGGGGGAGGGAGGGACAGAGGGAAGGAAGACCATGCTTAATCACTCCCCCACAAATATTTTACACCCCTGAATGTGTCAATTTCGCACATTTATACAAACTATAAACAAACCTTTAGAAATCCATCCTTATTGGTAATTTCTTTCCACAATAAGAAACAATAGATTAAGGTAAACAGACCATTCTCAAAATAAAAATGTAAACAACCAATAAATAAATGAAAAATGCTCAACATCTTTGGCCATCAGGGAAATGCAAATCAAAACTACACTGAGGCCAGGCAGGATGGTGCACACCTGCAATCCCAGCATCTTGGGAAGCTGAGGATCAGGTAGGAAGATCACAAATTCACAGCCAGCCTCAGCAGCTTAGTGAGATCCTGTCTCAAAAAATAAAAAAGGGCTGGAGATGTAACTCAGTGGTAAAATCCTCCTGGGATAAATCTCCTATACCCTCAAAAAAATAAAGCTACGCTGAGATTCCATCTCAGTTCAGTCAGAATGACTATTATCAGGAATTTTTTAAATACTGGTAAAAATAGCAATGCTAGTAAGGATGCACAGACAAGAGCAGGAGGATCTTAACATATACACTGTCGATGGGAATATAAATTACTACACATCCACTATGAAAAAGCATGAAGATTCCTTTAAAAAAGAAAAACGAAAATGACCTACTGTATTATCCAACTATACCACTCCTACGTGTGTATGTATGTATATGTGTGTGTGTGTATGTGTGTATGTATGTATGTATATATATCTCCAAAGGTATCAAAGCCAGCATACAAAAAAGGCCTACATACCATATTTACAGAGCCCTATTCACAATAGCCAAGTTATGGAATCAGTTTAAATGCTACAGACGAATTGGTTTATATACAATATAGTATTATCCAACCATAATGATGAATGAAACAATGTCGTTTGCAAGAAAACAGATGAAAGTGGAAATCATCATGTAAAGTGAAATAGGCCAGACACAAAGCAGTATTGCAAGTTTGCTCTCATGTGAAATCTAGAAAAAAAATGCTTTGAGTAAATAATGACATAAAAGTAGAAGGGGGAGAGAAAGGGGATCAAGGGAAAGAAGGGGTAATGGTTAGGGAAGGAAGCAGGGGAATTGTCAAAGGAGGGGTAAGCCGTAGGGAGAGTGGAAATACCATAATGAAACTCATTAATTAGTATAATTAATATGTACTAATTATAACTTAAAATTGCTTGGAATATGTCCCCTCACCCAAATAAAAGACCTAATACCTAGTATTTAAGTATCTTAAGACATTTGTACTAGTAGGCAACAACTTTGGAGGCTGAAGCAGGAGGATTCAAAGTTCAAGACCAGCCTCAGCAACTCAAGGAGATCGGTCTTAAAAAATAAAAAGGGGCTGGGAATGTAGCTCAATGATACAGCACCCATGGGCTCAATCCCCTGTACTGAGAGGGAAAAAAAACATTTATAATATAATGAAAAATTCCTTATGTTCTACTTGTCAAATCCTATTTCATAGGCATAAGGTATTTACTATGTCCCCACTGCCCACAGAGCTGGGGGATTGAATCCTAAGGTCCCCTACAATCTAGGCAATTGCTCTATGACTGTGCTACACACACAGTCCCAGACCTAAGTACTTCTAATGACCAGATCTCTAACACTTAGTGCCTGTATTATGTTAAATGCACTATCTATTTTTTAGGTTTTTAGGTGGACACAATATCTTTATTTTACATTTATGTGGTACTGAGGATAGAACCCAGTGCCTTGTGCATGCTAAGGGAGCACTCCACCATTAAGCCAAAACCCCAGCCCCCACACACACACAAGTACTATTTTTAAAGGTGCTTCGGTGTTCTCGAAGCCACCAGAACAATGCTAGGTTGTAATCTGTACAATACACCCAAAAAAGTCAGGGTTGGGTCTTTAGCAAAAATCACTGTCAAAATGCACCGTTAACAATAGCCACATTTGTCTGCACATGGCACAGAAAGGCTTTAGGCCTTTCATCTGGCCCAGAACTCGAAAGACCCTCCTTATCATCAATTTCACTTTCTACAATTTTACTTACCCAACTGTCAATTATAATCCAAAACTCTTAAACGGAAAATTCCAGAAATAAGCAATAAATTTTGAATTCACTTTCTTGAAAAGGTATCTATATAAAAAAAATAATAATACTAACCAGTTTCAGGTATCCAATGGGTAACTCTGATCATACATCATGATAATAAGACTACTGTGTTTCTCAAAACTTTTCAAGTTTTTTTCTTCTTCCCATACATATACAAACGGGAAAGGTTCCAAAGCATCATTATGAAATGTTCACTTTAGTTACTTTATTTAGCCCAATATCTGGTTAGAATGGATACTCTTAACTATAACTTAATTAATAAGACAATATAACACATCTGAAGGGTGATCAAAAT